CACACACACACACACACACACACACACACACACACACACCAGTCTGAAAAGGTCATAGTCAATAGATGGGACGTCTGCATGTAATACAGAGCATTGCAATGCCAGACAAGTGTATGTGTGTGTTTGTCACGGCTTTCGATAGACTTATATGGACATGAGAGGGATAAACTATGGTCCTGTATGAAGYGGTTCAACTGACAGATGAGTACAAAGGGTCAGCTGGCTGACAAACAGGGTCAATCGGATCTAATTGATTGGACCGGAGCTTTGATGGTTCGTCCAGAGAAAGGGAGGCGAGAGAAAAACTGAACCGAGCAACGACGAGATGAAAGGAAAAAGTACGACGGAACAAAAAGCAAAGGTAAACGGTGGGAGTCTGAGGTGTGTGTGTGTGTGTGTGTGTGTGTGTACCTCCAGTCCTTCTGCGGGGCTGAGAGGGGAGGTGGAGGAGGCAGTGGGTGAGGATGAGGAGGACGTGGAGGAAGGGGAGGAAGGGGATGTGACTCCTCTTGGACCGGCCTCCACCAGCTTCTTCAGCTTCAGATCCACGTTCTTGCTGTTTGGACCTGGAAARGAAAAAAAGAAAAAAAAAAGCATTAACATATGAGGACAATCTAAAAGTCTGAGACCCTCTTGGGAACACTTGAGTAAAGCCACTGATGAACATCATATGGACATAAACACAGGAGCGGTTGAGTAATTATATGCGAAATAAATGGTAAAGGTAAGGAAATCTGGACAAACTGAGCAACATTAAGTCTTGTTTTTCCTTCAGAGAGCTGCTGTGGTTCTACCAGGGCTATCACCATGGTAACACCAGACCAAGATGGAGGGAAACGTGTGAACTAAATGAGCAGGTCTCATTTGCTTTTAAGGGACTGTTTTTGCACAGATGCACTTTAGAGACTAAAAAAGCCTAACTCCATTTAAATTCCCAAACTTTCAGGAAAAAGAAAAAGGTCACTTCTGACTATTCTGTGCCTCACCTCTACTAGTTTGTTTACGCATTTTATCTTAACATGTATATTTTTAAGCTCAGATAAAATTTCCATGCCTAAAATCTCTACTTTTACATCTTAATTTGATTGCTTCGTCCTTCCCCTTCTCCGTTTCTGTGACTCCATCCTCCTGCCTGTGTGCGCCTGCCAGCAGCTGCATACAGCTCTATTTTCCAGGGACTGGTAACCACAGCTCCCCTGCCAGGACAGACCACTGCACTGAAGAAGATGAAAGAACAGGAGGGCAGCCGTTTCATGTGTCACCTCCCTGTGTGTGGCGAACAAACACACACACGCGCTAAGATGCATGTATGAAGATACTGAATCCTGACGCATGCTCTTGAACTTTGTCACAAACACACAAGGATAAATGGCGCTCATGTTCACTGTAAACAAAGTACAAATGATCCATGCAAATTTTAATATTAGCAGATTAAAGAGTGGCATCAGAAGCTTTAATGCTGCGTTCACAGCCATCGATTTMTTTTAGAAGTACATAAACACTACAGCTAAACAAAAACGCTAGAAGAAAATGTAAGATAATGCACTTCAAAGCTGGAGTAGAGTTGTTTTTCTGTTTTTGTTCCTCACCATACTCTCACCTATCTCACATCGACAGAAAATAAAGGAAGTACACAGAAAAAATTAATTACACAATAATTAATTAGCCTCTGAAGGTTCTGTGAAATGTTTTTCTGAAGATATATACTTTTTTATTCTTGTCTGCAGTAAACTGTTCTGATTGTTAATTACTATTCCAGGAAGTTTTTTTATAAAACACACAACTACTACAGATGCTAAAAAGACAAAAGCAAAGACAAAGTGCATTTTTCTGGAGAAATATGAGAATATCTAAAAGAGCCAGRTCTTATAGGTGAAGAGCAGGGAAATGAAGTGTGTCCTGACTCAGCTGAGCAGGGACACAATATTTTAGCAACTGCAATGAAAACAGTGAGCTTAGCAACTAAAATGCTGCTTAGGCTGAGAAAAAAGCAACAATTTAAAGAAATATCAAACAGAGGTGAACACTAGGGTTGCAASAATACATGTACCTGTATGGAACCATTCAATACAGTGCTTTTAGGTTCAATACACACTTGTATCGARCAATACAGATTTTTTAAATTTATTTGATCAACTTGTCTTCTGAAGATGCTCTGTGTTGAAGGATCAGTGGATCTGTGTTCGACTACTCCACCTAGGCTGCATTTTTGAGCGCAGATCCACTGAGAAACTTGCTGTTTCAGCAACATTTAATTTAATAAAAACTGGACTTTTGAGGTTAAACAAATGTTCCTAATTAATTTAAATAAATTGCAAGTTAAAAAAAGGGCATGGAAATTTCTCTTTTTTGTATAGAAACAATATCGAACCATGAGACTAAAGTACTGAACCGATCCAAATCGGGAATTTTCTGTTTCGTTGCAGGCCCAGAGTTGTAAAGTAACTAAGTACAAATACTTCTTTACTGTACTTAAGTAGAATTTTTGGGTATTTGTACTTTACTTGAGTAATTATTTTTCAGCCTACTTTTTACTTCTACTTCTTACATTTTCATACAATTATCTGTACTTTTTACTTCTTACATTTTTAAAATAGACAAGAAGTGGAAAGTCGTTAATTTAATTTTTGCTTGTTTTCATTCCAGCTTGTTATTGTAAAAAATAAATACTATCCATATAAGTTGTGCCTTCTAGATAGAGTGAATTCAATTGTGGTTGAAATAGAAGTATAAATAAATAAAATTCTGACACCATATTAGTTTGTAAACAAACAAATCATGTCACACTCCAGAAGGACATAATCATTAAAATAAAAGTACTTTACTTAAGAAGTATTTGTATTTCATGAAATATATTATTGCATTTGGCCGCAGCCCTCAGACAGATTTTTATTTTGGAGAAAAGGTTTGTGCAGCCTTGATATACAGTATGTATATAAACTGAAACAGCTAGACTAGTGCATCCTAAATTTAACATAAATTAATTATTTTAGTATGATAGTCATTTCAGCATTTTTTCCTAATAAATGTCCTTACAGAGAATCTTACTGCTCATTTTAAAATCAATACTTTTACATTTAATACTTACAAAAAATATCACATACTTAAGACTTTTACTCAAGTAATATTCCTAAAGGAGACTTTAACTTTTACAAAAGTAATTTTTTGGTAAGATGCTTGTACTTTTACTCGAGTATCACTTTGTGGTACTTTATACAACACTGGCTGCAGCCCTAGTGAACATGTAAAGATATTTAAAGGTTAGTTTGAAACCACTTGGAGTTCCTTGATTTTCAAAATGACATCCCTGACTGCATTCTACTGCAGATAAAACACTGTCTACCAAAATAAAACCCATCTTCAAACAATTCTAACATCCCCTATGTATGGATTAGGTTAAGTGGAGCAAGTTAATATAGTAAATCATGCAGCACCACACAACATCAGCCACCGATTTTACCCAGTGAAGTTAGCTCAGAGCCAGGGTTAGTAAGCTCCAGGTGTCCCTGGGTGCTGGACGTGGTTGGAAGGTCGTCCTGTGGTAGCTGGTTAGTAATCAGTGCAGAAGCAGACAAAGCAGCACCAGAAGAACCGTCACCAAAGTGTTGCTGCTCTTCCTCTGCCCTACTCTCGTCCTCATCCTCACCCTTTTCATCATAATCATCCTCCTCCTCATGACTTYTCATCCTCTCCAAAACATCTGTGGATGCAAAGTTAGACAAGAGGAATGACGGACAGAAGGGAATGAAAGAAGGGGATGTTAAAAAAGGGAAGGAGGATGATGAATAAAAGGAAAAAGAGGGAAGAATGTAAGGAAAGAAGGATGCATTTAAAGAGTAAGAAAAAAGAGTGGTAGAATAAAAAATGAAAATATAAAAGACAATGTTAGGTTAGTTTGTATTAACACCAGCCTATAGAGTATCTGAAAGCATGCCTTTTCTAAACAAAACTGAACTCCCACCATCCGTCCACATTCTCTATCAATCAGTGAACATAACAGAAGGTTTGACGTAAAAAGACAAAAGAGATGAGTACTAAATTGCAGCTGGTGATCTGTTCTTTTAGATTCACAAATCTAAGGGTGTATTCAGACCAGGAAAGTCCTTTGGTCCAATTGTTTGGTCCGGATCAAAAATGGACTTTTTTTTCGTTTGGTGCGGTTTGCATTCACATTGTGCTTTTTTGCAAATGAACTATAACTTGTAAACAAAGCCACGAGTGTGACGATCATTGATCCCATTGGACAAAAAAAGGACGGGGGCGGGACTGAGACCCAGAAGAAAACAAGGAAGTCCTGCATGCTGCGGTTCTGATGCGCACATTTTTGCTGATAGTACAACTGCAATAGCATTTAAAAACGTCAAAAGCAGCTAATTTGTTGGTTTCGTGATGATATTCTAATTTTGGAGCGACGTCAGTAAACGTGAGACTCAACCCAAAGGAGACAAGGTGCGCTGCGTGTTCTGACCCACAACATGCCAGCAG